TTACTATTTTCAATTTAAAGCCAATTTTATCAGATACAAGAATGGCTACACCTGCCTTTTTTGACTTCCATTAGTCTCTCAAATTATTTATCTAGCTCATGTGTGTTTTTTACTCACCCTCAGGAATGTCTATGATTCTTATATTTGGCTGTTGTACATAATCCCATATTTTTTGTAGGCTTTGTTTATTCCTCTTAATTCTCTGTTATTAATTTTGACTGACTGAGTTAATTTGAAAGAGTTGTCTTAAAGCTCTGAGATTCTGCCTGGTCTAGTTTATTCTCAAAGCTTTCCACTGTGGTTTTTATTCCCTTAAATGCATTTTTTATTTCCAGAAGTTCTATTATTTTTTTAATAAATAATGTTGATCTCTTTAGTGAATTTTTCATTCATTTCTTGAATTGTTTTTCTGGTGTTTTTTTTTTTTTTCAGTTGGTTTTCCATTTTCTCTTGGATTTCATTGACCTTCCTTACAATCCATATTTGGAATTCTTTATCTGTCATTTGAATATTTTCATTTTGGTTGGTATTCATTGCTAGAGAGCTGGTGTTCCCTTTGGGGGATGTCCTTTCACTCTGGTTTTTCATACTTCCAGAGCTCTTTCACTGATTCCTTCTCATCTGAGACAGTTGTCACTCCTTATTTTTGGATTTTCTTTTGTTTAAATGGAACCTTCACACACACTTGTAAAGGTATGTCTATAGTATATGTTGGGTAAGAACCTTTGGGTTTGCTTGTGGGTACTTTGATGGTGATCTAGGTTTGGATGGATGCCTTGGTTATAGATATGCTTAGTGTGGTGATTTTCTCAGTTGCTAGTTGTTTGTAGGCTGTAGTAGTGGTGATCTATGAGTGTGGGCTGATTTCCTGTCTCTTTGATGAGGGAAGATGGAAGTTTTTGAGATCCTTTCTTTTTTCCCTGTCCTGTGGTCTTCTTAACAGTGGGCATTGCATTGGCATGCTCAGTTCAATCTCTGAGACAGTATGTGAGGCTTGTTGGTAAGAATCAACCATATCCTGTATGAATGAGTCAGTAAATACTGTAAAGAGCTTTGCAAATTGACCTCCCTGTCAGTAGGTGGTGCTTGCTGGGAGGAACAAGCTACAGTGTTTCTTTGGTAGGGGTAACTGTGACTGGCTCTAGCCCCTCAGGAGAAGCACTCAAATGCCCAAGATTATGGGTGGGGCCCTGAAACTTCCAGGTGAGTTTTTATTCTCTGCTGCAACACAGGCTTGTGGACAAGGGGCCATCTGAGATTAATGATTTGGCTGTGAGGGGTGGGTTTATTTCATCTCCTCCTTCCACTGCTCCACAGTTTCCTTCCAGTATCTTCCAGCAGGCAGAAGCTCAAACTAGCTAATTTCTCACATGATGATATTTCGGGCTGGGAGATTCCCTGTCCAGGATCCTTCCCTGGGCCAAGAGCATGACCTTACTGTGTGAGGAGAGGTGCTCCATGAGTCCACTGCAGGTGGGACCCACACTGTGCACTTTTTTTAGTTCTGGCCACACAGGCTTCCTTGCCTCCCAATATTAGCTCACAGATCTCCCCTCTGTGCCACCAAGCAACATGATCAAGTCCTGGGTGTACAGGATCTGGCCTGAAGACTTGTCCCTGAGTCCCCCAAATCAATCCCTGAATATGCCAGGGAGAAGCATGCTAATTCTGAGTTGCCAATGGGGTGCTCAAGCAAATTTGATGTCCCTCTGCTTTGGGATGTGCCCTTCTATGGAGCAGTCAGGCAAAAAGCACTGGGGAGGGCCAGTGAGCAGGAACCTCATAGTATGTGCACCCCTTATTCTGCTCCAGGTCTTTAAGAGGAAACATTTGAGCCCTACTCTCTGTGGAAGCCCCAACAGAGGGGAAGAAGCTGTTCCTGAGACTCTAGGCTCAATCATCTCTGTCAGCAGCCATGGGCAGGAGAGTGGAAGGGGAGGAAAATAGTCTGGATGTAGGATTTCTAGCACTCTGGTCATCTATGTCCCTCTTTCTGGAATTCAGCTCACCTGGAATGTCCAAGGTCTGGTGTCATGCAGATACCCTGGGACTCAACAGTCTCCTGTGCCTCCTGCATTCTGGGCCAGAGTTGGGAAATATTTGTGTGGGAACCAGCGAAACAAAAACTTGGGGATGGAAGCTCCATGGGGAGGACAAAGGCACATGATGGGTGGAGAAGTAATATGGCTACTGCTATCTTGGCTTGGGTCTGTGGTGACACGAAGTACCCCAAGAGGGCTGGCAGGCTGGTGCTTTGTCCTCAAGAAGCTTCTAGTTTTCTGGTGGCAGCAGCATTTTGGCTCATGAGGGTAGAAAGGCTCTCCAAAACCTCAGGAGCCTGCTGACTGACAGAAGTGTGTAGAAGGGAGAAACAAACTGCTCTACCTACCCTTTTCACTGGATTCCAAGCCTCTTGGGGGTTGTCCTTTGGAATACCTTGCTCCTTCTTGTTCTGCTCTCCAGCTTATTCCTGTGGAATCTCTTATAGATTCTGGTACTTTTCTCTCAGAATTATACCCAATCTATGATTTTCTTTTTCATCTAAAGCTTTTCCTGCTTTCTGAGATGATCTGGCAGCTGGTATCTCTGGTCAGCCATCTTGTCTCTGAATCCCTAAATAATTATTTTAAATATGTATTTATAGCATATATCATTTCACCAAGCAGTTGAGGCAACTTATAAGAAGACAAAAACATTACATAAAAATTAAAAAGTATTCCAGGTGTGTAAAGGTTACAAGCTGTCATAAAATATTAGCAAATACAAGAATAAAGGTTTCTAGAGTCAGTTGAGGGAGGAAAAATACCAGGCATGATAGCTTTTTAAATTTTGTCATTATATCATTATCCTGGACCTTACAGAATAAAAATATGGCATGCTACTTTTTATAAAACATTTTCTAAGAATGAAAAAAATTATTGTTTCATGACTGCTTATTCTGTACTTCATTGACTTTTTGTGTTAAAAATGTAAACAAGAATCATTAACAGTATTTATTTGAGGTTTTCCTAGGACCCTGTCATCAAGTAACAAGTTGCAATGCTATCCACTGCAACCTTGGCAAAACAGACCATGGCTAAGTATTACATCACTTTCTTTATATGTCAGAAAATAAGAGGAAAACACATATATGCAAGGAGAAAAGTCACCAGGAACATCCAATACAGTAAATAAATTGAATAATAAAAGCAGGGCAAATGCATAAAGTTTATTACTTGCACACAACAGCAACTTAGAATTCATATAAGGATGATGAAATATCCTATAATCTGATTTCAAGATTGAGTATGTCATTAAGGTTAAGGTTGAATAGAAGTGGGACTGAGATATCCCCTTAGTTCACCCATGGTCAAAGAACTGGAAATCCCTACCTTTATTTTATCTAGTATTCCAGGGAGAACCTACTGAAGCAGAACTAAAGAGACACCTATCAATGATGGTGCAATTTGGCTAGAGCTGATTTCTGGTGACAGAGCCAAAAGCTGCATCAAAATCCACAAATGCAGTAGAGAAATGTTTAGTAGGGCTTCATATACTTTGTTTGACGTAATGACAGAGTTGTTTTATTACATAGCAAGTCATGCTAAACTAAGCTTAATACCTTAAACATCTATTTAACAAGAATTTTTAAAGTCTATTACTAGACTCTAATCAGGAGAGTGCTATATATATAATGCATCTTGATTTCTATCGTGTTTGATATTTATTCATTCAACAAATATTTATCAAATGGATACTATTTGCTATTCTTTTTACAGGCACTCGTCTAGCCACTGGAGATAGAACAGTGGAAAACAATTAAAAATCCATGTTTCCTGCAGCTGACATTCTAGTTGGAAAGAGAAAAAAACAATCAAATAAATAATATAGTTTGTCTGCTGATGTCAGTGCTGGGGCTAGAGGGTACTTGGACAGTGGGGCCTTAGATAGGGTGGGGATATTATTTAATGTAAGATGGTACAATACTTTTGATGTTTGCCCCCTCCAAATCTCATGTTGAAATTTGATCCCCAATGTTGGAGGTGGAGCCTAATGGTAGGTGTTTTTGTCATAGGGGTGGATTCCTCAGGAAAGGCTTGGTGTAATTCTCTCAGGAATGAGTGAGTTCTCATTCTTAGTTCCTGTAAAAACTGATTGTTGAAAAAAGCCTGGCCCCTTCTGCCCTTTATTGCTTGCTCCTTTATTCTTGCTATGTGATGCTTGTTTCCTTTTTCCTTCCACCATAAGTGGAACAGCCTGAAGCCCTCATCAGAAGCAGATGCTGGCACCATGCTTATTGTACAACCTGCATAACCATGAGTCAAATAAACCTCTTTTCTTTATAAATTATCCAGCCTCAGGGATTCCTTTATAGCAACACACAGCAGACTAAGTCAGATGATTAGGGAAGGCCTCTCTAATCAGGGGACTGAGAGCAGAGACCTGAAGGAAGGGTGAGAGAAGGCCATGCTGCTATCTGGGTAGAGTACCCTGGTGGAGGAAACAGCAAGTGCAAAGGTGCTGGAGTACAAATATTAGTGTTTGAAAAATGGCCAGGGGGGCAGCATGACTAGAGCTGATTTTTCTAGAAGGAAAGTGAAAGGAGAGGAGGACAGAGTGATGGCAGTAGATGAAAGGAGGGGGCACATAATGTTGTCTATCCATAGTGAAGAACTTTGGAATTTACTGGGAGCAGAATGGGATGCCAGGGTCTCTAATGGCTTCTTGAAGATGGAGAAATGAAAACTGGCTGGAAGTACAGTTAAGTGAATTCCTGGCTGATGGAACCACTCCATGCAAAGTGATAATTAAGGGATCAATGCAAAAGTGGAGGGAGGTAACTATTTGGCCTACAGTGGAGTTCTGCACTTGGCTGCACCATCATATGCAATTCCTTTGACTTGGGTAAATAATTGTGCTTATATTAATAGCTAATACTTAAAAAGTACTGCTCTCTGTGCCCTTCCTTTGGCTCTCAGTTTGCTGCGATCGTGGGTCTGGTCGTCATCTGTGGCCCCACAGGTCATGGCTCCTCAGAAGCAAGATAAATCAAGTGAAGGAATGAAGGAAGGAGAAATTTGCTGGCTTTGAATATCATTTCTGGGGAGGACTCTAGACTCTAACTGGATACTAAGACTTGTGACTATAAGAACTTCATGGCAGATGCAGAAGAGACGAAATAAGTACAGTCCATATTGCTCACTATTTCTTGAACACAGAAGAAAATGACTGAGTCCCAGGAATCTCTTACACTGGAGGATGTGGCTGTGGAGTTCACTTGGGAGGAGTGGCAGCTCCTGGACCCTGCTCAGAAGGACCTGTACTGGGATGTGATGTTGGAGAACTATAACCATTTGGTGTCACTGGGGTATCAAGCTAGCAACCCAGATGCACTGTCCAAGTTGCCACAAGAAGAACCATGGATATTAGAAGATAAAATCCAGAATAGTTCAGGAATCAGAAAAGTTCACAGTTATCTGCAAATATACTCTCCAAACCAAAGATTTCTGAGGAGCATGCGACAATGCAGTGAACAGAATGCGTTTAGAAATATTTTTCATCTGAGCAAAACACATTTGCCCTTAGTGCAAAATCGTGATATGTTTGACTTATGCAGACAAACTGTGAAATCATGTTTAAGTTTAGTCAACCAGAAAAGAAGACATGAAACAAATAACTCTATTGAGTTTAGTGGAGGTGAGAAAACCCTTCTACATGGTAAACATGAACATATGTATACAAATATTCAATTCCCAGAAAGTAAAAAGTCTGTTGATACTAACTTCCACATCTTTAAGCATCAGAGGACTCAGAAAATTGAGAAACTCCATGCATCCACTGAATTTGAGCAGACCCTCCTCGGGAAGTCTCAGCTTGTTTGCCAAGAGAGCATGCATACAGGAGAGGATTCTAGAAGTGGTCAATGTGAGAAATCATCTAGAAGTGTCCTTGTAACTAAGCATCTGAAAGCTCATACAAGAGACACGGCCTATATACCTAATGAATATAGAAAAGGCTCTACTATGAAGAGCAGTCTCATTCCACATCAGCAAACCCATACAGAAGAGAAATCCTATGTATGCAGTCAGTGTGGAAAGGGCTTTACGATGAATCGCTATCTAATTGCTCATCAGCGAACTCACAGTGGAGAGAAACCTTATGTATGTAATGAATGTGGAAAAGGCTTCACTGTGAAGAGCAATCTTATTGTACATCAGCGAACTCACACAGGGGAGAAACCTTATGTATGCAGTGAATGTGGAAAAGACTTCACCATGAAGCGCTATCTTGTTGTTCATCAGCGAACTCATACAGGAGAGAAGCCCTATATATGCAGTGAATGTGGAAAAGGCTTTACAGTGAAGAGCAACCTCATTGTACATCAGCGATCTCATACAGGAGAAAAGTCTTATATATGTAGTGAATGTGGAAAAGGCTTCACTGTGAAGCGCACTCTTGTTATACATCAGCGAACTCATACAGGAGAGAAATCTTATATATGCAATGAATGTGGAAAAGGCTTCACCACAAAGCGCACCCTAATTATACATCAGCGAACTCACACAGGAGAAAAACCCTATGAATGCAATGAATGTGGTAAAGCTTTCAGCCAGAAAATATGCCTCATACAACATGAGCGATGCCATACAGGAAAGACTCCCTTTGTATGTACTGAGTGTGGAAAATCCTATTCACACAAATATGGTCTCATTACCCATCAGAGAATTCACACAGGAGAAAAACCTTATGAGTGCAATGCATGTGGAAAAGCCTTCACCACAAAGTCAGTACTCAATGTACATCAAAGAACTCATACGGGAGAGAGACCATATGGATGCAGCAGTTGTGAGAAAGCCTTTTCCCACTTATCAAACCTTGTTAAACATAAGAAAAAGCACATAAGAGAAATGGGCAGAATCAGTCAAATTGAAAATTCCTCTAACAGAGAGTCACAGCTTATTACTTAGAAATGAATTTATGCAAAACAAAAAGTTTATGAATGCAATGGCTGGAAATGCCTTTTATGGCCCCTCAGACATTATCAAACAGGTTTGTTTCTAGCAGATTGGAATGTAATCATTATGCTGCCTGTTGTCAGATGTGTGCCCTCAGGAGATGAAAGAATTTGGCCAGATGATAAACTTGGTGAATACAGTAAATATGGTAGTGCCTTTAGTGATCCTTTACCTCACATTTTCTGTCAATGAAAACACGTTGGAAAAACTGTAATGCATTTATTGTGAAAATGCCATGAGCAATAATTTCTAGCTCATCTGTCTGCAAAGTGTATAATGAGACAAATTCTGCTAATGCAGAAACAAGTAAAGCCTTCTGTTGGAAGATAGACTTTATTATCAGGTTCATCATAGATCATCAGTGAGCTTATTGTTGATAGAAATGTGATGACCATGACAAAGCCTTTACCCAGAAATAAGACTCAATGAGTGTTAGTTTACACTGGATAGTAACTTTAAGACAGTATATATGGCAGGATTTTACTGATATATTCTGCCTCATCATTTTTCAGGAAATTAAATAGAAAGTAAAATTATCTGTATATGCTAAATGTGGAGCACTGCAGAGAGCTTATGAAGGCATGCAGTCCAGTGAAAATGATGAATGTATGAGTGCTTTTTGTTATAATTCTAAGTTCATTATACATCAGATAATATACCTGGTGTGCATTTTCAGGCAGGATACCTTGAACCTCATTTCCAGTTGCCTTGTCAGTGATTCCATATTTTTAAAAATGTATCTGTTCTCACCAGATTGCATTTATTGTTATATAAAATGGTGGTACAATAAATATATTTAATCTTAAATATCTAGTTCCTAGCACAGAGCCCCTAAAACCTTTGGAATTTCATGAGTGTTTTTGTTATTCATATCAAGCCCCTTTTAATCACACCTAAGTATGCTAATAAGGTGACTTCACATGGGGCCCCTAGATAGCCTCAGGATGCAGCTGGTCACCAGCAAGTTCAAATGATCACAAGATGGAAACTCTCAGTCCCATCCCCCTCACCTCCTGGGAGGGAGGAAGACTGGAGATTGAACTCCTGAACAATAAGCTTCAGAAAGCTTCCAAACTGATGAACATGTGCACATGACTGGAGGGTCTTGAACCCTAACTCCATGGGGACAGAGGCTCCTGAGCCCCAGACTCTTCCAAATGTTCTATGTACCTCTTTCTCTGGCTGTTTGTTTTTTTTCCCTTGTAATAAACTAGTCAATGTAAGTAAACTGTTTTCCTAAGTTTTGTAAGCCATTTTAGGAAACCTGAGGCAGGGGTCATGGTAATCACGATTTATAGCCAGTCAGAAGTACAGGTGGCCAAGGACTTGTAACCAGCATCTGAAGTGGGGGCAAACTGAGACCCTTAAGTTGTGGAGTCTGCACTAACTTGGAGTACTTTTGAATTGCAGGACACCCACTTGGTGTGGGAAAATTGGAGAATTTATTTATTCATTTTTCTTATTTATTTTTTGAGACAGAGTGTTGCTCTGTTGCCCTGTGTAGAGTGCATTGGCATCATCATAACTCACTGCAACCTCAAACTCAAGCAATCCTCTTGCCTCAGTCTCCTGAGTAGCAGACTATAGGATACCCAGTTAATTTTTCTATTTTTAGTAGAGACTGGGTCTCGCACTTGTTCAGGCTGATCTTGAACTCCTGAGCTCAAGTAATCCTTCCACCTCAGCCTCCCAGAGTGCTAGGATTACAGGCATGAGCCACCACACAGGGACTGGAGAGTTTATTGATGTTTAGAAAATACCCCAGAACAATGTAACCAACAGAACAACCAGGTCAAAGTATTTAATCAACACAACCCGCTTTGTGCTACCTTTTTATGCTTAACTCTGCCAACTTCTTTTCCCTTAGTATAATTTTGTCATGTCAGGAATGTTATAAAATTGGATCATTTTAAAAATGGTTTTTATATAAGCTTTATGTAAATCTATAAATTTTTATTTATAGGGAGTATATAAGCTTTTGGCACTTTTGCCACTCAGCAAATTGCTCTTAATGCTTATCTGAGTTGATGATTTAGTGTGTGTGTGTGTGTGTGAGTGAGAGAGATGGGGTTTCATTCTTAAGCTGGTCTCAAACTCCCCAGCTCAAGCAGTCCTCCCGCCTCAGCCTCCCAAGGTGCTAGGATTACAGGCGTGAGCTACCGTGCCCATCCTAGTTGTTTTATTTTTATTAGTGAGTAGTATACAAACTTGTATCAGTTTGTTCATCCATTTACCCATGAAAGAGATTTGCATTGTTCCCTTGGTTTTAACTATTATAAAGATGCTACTGAAATCTATGTACAAGGTTTTGTGTGAACATAAAAATCTATTTCTCTAGGATAAAGATTCTGGTGTATGATTGTTGGGACATGTTATGTTTAGCTTTACAAAAAACTACCAAAATCTTTTACAGAGTAGCTGAACTATTTTATTTTACATCCCCACTGAATATGAGATACAGCTGTTCTACATCCTCTCCAGCACTTGGTATTTTCAGTGTCCTCCCACCCTATGTTCAGTCTATTTTGTTTTAGCCATTCTAGCAACATATGATTGTATCAGTTGCTCTTCATCCTCACCACCACTTGGCATTGTCATTATTATTTATATTTTATAAGCCATTCTATTAGGTATGTAATAGTATCAGCCCTTGAGCTTAACTTATATTTCCATGATGGCTAACACTTTTTTATTACTTACTTGCATTTGTGTACCATCTTTGTTGAACTGTCAGTTCAAGTTTTGCCCATTTTGTATTTGGGTCGTTTTCTTACTGTGTAGTTTTATAGTGTTTTTAAAATATATTCTGGACCCAAGTCCTTTTGGATATGTGATATGCAAATATTTGCTCCTTTCTAGCCTCTTTCACACTCTTAGTAAGGTCTTTTTTTGGAGGAAACATTTTTAAGTATCATGAAGCTTAATTTGTCAATTTTCTTTCAAGGATTGTGATTTTGGGGTCACATCTAAGAATTCCTGGTATACCCCAGCCTGCAAAGTTTTTCTTTTTCATTAGAAAAATATTATAGTTTTTACCTTTTACATTTATAGCTATGATCTATTTTGAGCCAATATTTTATGCAGTGGGAGGTTTTAGTTGAGGCTCAGTTTCTTTTTGCATGGATGTGCAATTGTCCCAAGATCATTTGTTGTTTATCCTGTCTTTTTTCCCTTTGAATTGCATTTATACCTTTGTGAAAACCAGAGGTCCTTACTTGTGTGTTTCTAATCCTTTGTTACTACACTTTCTTGATTAACATGCAGTACTACACTGTCTTCATTTTTGTGTCTCTATAGTAAATCTTAAAAATTGTGTAATCTGATTCCTCTATGTTCTTTCACAGCATTATCTTAGCTATTCTAATTCCTTTGGCTTTCCATATTACTTTTAGAATAAATTTGTCTCTATAAAAAAAAAAAGTACTTACTGCAAGCCAAGCACAGTTTAAATTGCTTTACATATATTCACTCATTTAATTCATACAACAGCTTTATGAGTAAGCATTATTATAATCATCACTTTGCTGATAAGGCTTTGGAAATACTAAGGGGCAAAATAAAGTTCCCTGGGTCATAAGCCTAGTATGATGGTGGCCTGGTTCCAGAGTCAGTCGTTGTAATCATCATACCACATTCTCAAAATAAAACACCTATATGCTCACCAAATTTGAGATAAAACAAAACTGCAGTAAGTGATAATATGTTTATTGACAGAAGCAAGATTCATATTAAAGACAATTTTTCACTGTGATCTAGAACAATGGTCCCCAACCTTTTTGGCACCAGGGACTGGTTTAATTGAAGAAAAATTTTCCATGGTGGGGTGGGAGGGAGGAGGCAGAGCTCAGGCAGTGATGTGAGCGATGAGGAACAGCTGTAAATACAAATGAAGCTTTGCTTGCTTGTCTGCTGCTCACTTCCTGCTGTATGATCCCTGGTTCCTAAGTTTCATAGAAGACAATTTTTCCATGGACCCGGAGTGGCAAGCTCTGCCACCCATTTCCTAACAGGTAGAAGACTGGTACCAGTGAAGCCCAGGGGCTGGGGACCACAGAACTAGAACACACACAAATATACACACACCATTTGAACACAAATTTTATACAACAATAATCACTTTTACTATGTGAAATTTACTCTATCTTCTCTTCTTTTATAATTTTATTTTTAAATTATCTCAGTAACAGATTTAAGCCCACAGAGCAATGTATTCCTGAAATCTAGTACTCCCAGAATGCAAACACCATATGCATTTATCACTCAACCTACCCACTTACCCATGTTTACCTCCTCTCCAGGTATTTCCAGGGAGTTGTATTCTCTAACTGAAAAAGGACAAGCTACATGAATGGGCTGTGGGAAGATTGGAATTTTGGCTATATTACAAAGTTGCCTCATGGAATAGAGGGACAAGGACCCAGTTTTCTCATTAGGGAAACCTCATAAACTGAACTGGTGGGGAGATAGCAGGAAGGCAAGTTCTATACTCAGTTGTATAGCACAGACTAGGGCATGGGATGTAGTGTCCAGTTCTGTGTCAATAACTTTGCAGTTGCATTTGTTAGAAATTCCCCTGTGATCTTGACAGTAGGTGTGTCATCAGCCCTAGTGTTCTATACTGTGAGTTCCATTTTTTTCCTTGAGTGTCTTTATATTTCATAGATATTTTAAGAGAGAAACTGCATCAAGGGGTGGTACTCTTCTTTTTCTTTTTTATTTCAGCATATTATGGGGGTACAAATGTTTAGGTTATGTATATTGCCCTTGTCCCACCTGAGTCAGAGCTTCAAGTGTGTCCATCTCCCAGATGGTATGTACCACACCCATTAGGTGTGTATATACCTATCGCCTTCTCTCCCTTCCCATCTGCCTGACACCTGATGAATGTTATCACTATATGTGCACTTAGGTGTTGATCAGTTAAAACAGATTTGATGGTGAATATATGTGGTGGTTGTTTTTCCATTCTTGAGATACTTCACTTAGTAGAATGGGATCCAGCTCTGTCAAGGATAATACAAGAGGTATTATATCACCATTGTTTCTTATGGATGAGTAAAACTCTGTAGTATACATATACCACATTTTATTAATCCACTCATGGATTGATGGGCACTTGGGTTGTTTCCACATCTTTGCAATTGTGATTTGTGCTGCTATAAACATTCTAGTGAAGATGTCCTTCTTATACAATGCCTTTTGTTCTTTTGGGTAGATGCCCAGTACTTTGATTGCTGGATCAAATGGTATATCTATTTGTATCTCTTTGAGGTATCTCCATATTGCTTTCAACAGAGGCTGTACTAGTTTGCAATCCCACCAGAAGTGTATGAGTGTTCCTATCTCTCTGCATCCACACCAACATTTATTGTTTTGGATCTTTTTGGTAAAGGCCATTCTCACTGGAGTTAAGTGATATCTCATTGTGGTTTTGATTTGTATTTCCCTGATGATTAGAGATGTTGAGCATTTTGTGGTAGATAATTTTTGCTAAAGTTCAGTGTTTATTGTTGTGTTTACTAATAGGAAAGATATTTTATGTTTTGTATTCCCCATCTTTCATTCATTCCTTCCTTTCTTTATACCATAAACCATCATTTGGGTTGTGGTCAGTTATTGTTATTTCTCATTTTTGACAGATTTTAGGTAATCATTGATTCCTTTGGTAAGACAGTAAATTTAATATCCCTAAATACAACATGAAAATATAAAAATATCATTTAAAGAGAAATTTACCTTTATATCTTTAAATTACCATTATTTTAATGACTTGGTAGGTATGTATTTTTGAATGTGAGTTTGTCTGCCTTCTATGCTACAGGTTCTTGAGAACTTGCTGTGCCTATAGAATGAAGGCCACATGACATCAGTTTTCTTACCCATTTGAATTACTTTCTTTCCTCTAGGTTTTCCATAATGGCATTTGACCTTCACTTGGTACCAAAGCTCTTATATAAAAATGCAAGTGTGAATTCTGAAAGTATATATTAGTACTTAGTTATAAGGTGGCCACCACATGAATGTGATTCTTTTAGATTATAATAATAAATTAAAATATAAAACTAAATA